TGTGTGTGTGTGTGTGTGTGTGTGTGTGTGTGTGTGAAAGAGTGTGGTTGGTTGATGAAAGAAAAGTGTGAGATTTTGTGTAACGAGTGCTTGTAGTCTTCTGAGGTAGGCAGGGTGGTGTCGCCCACAGGTAGGATGTTAGCGGTTTATTTTTAAATATCAATGGTTATTTGTAGAAAGTGTAATTTAATGTATAGGTGGTTACTCCAGCTTTCACCAGGAACAGGTTGTAAATATTTGCTTCTTTTCTTTTCTATGCTTGTACAATTCGCTCCCATCCCATTTTGAAATATGGTTGTAAATATGAACGCTCTTCTTGGCAAAGCTGAATGTTTCTGTGACTGTAGCATTATTTTTATTTTAATATTTTTTTTCCCTCTCTGGACTCTTCAACTTTGTCTTTTTTTTATTATTTGTGTGTGTGAGTGTATGTTTGTGTGGAGGAGAGAGACTCACAGACACTGCACTGGTTGGCTATTTTCATGGTTCATTATATTAAATCACTGTAATGACAGTTTTATACAACTTGTCGAGTCATGTGTCTCTGGGAACATTTTGGTTCGGGGAACATTCAAGGATTGTAATAACTGATATCCAAACTACTGTCGTTAATTTGTGGGCATTTGCAGTTCCTAGGCAGTCCTCCAGAGGGACACGTACAGCTGTAAAATAATGTGCTCAAAAAGCAGAAAAAATACACTTCAATCTCATTTAACATGATACAAAAAAACATTTCCTGTTAATATGTCTGACTGAATTTAAAGAACTGGGAACAAGATAATAGTGTGTACATCGCAGACATATATGGGGCCTGATGGCAAGATTATATCAAAGTAAAGGGAATATAAATTAGAAAAGAGAAAAGAGCAGGAGGCGAATTTAACAAGATGGCTGCCACTTAATGTTGAAAAACCTTGAATAAGAAAAACGTGAAGTACATTGACGCTTTACATAACAACTGTCCGCTTGGTGTTTAAGTATTACAGTTGATAAATTGATCAAGAGACAGTTAAGGCCCTTAAAAAATTATTTTAAAAGTCTTGAATGCCATTTTCCAAGGTATTACATTTTGTAGCTTGTATTCAATATGTATATTTGATTAAGTCAATTTAATTAGTATGTAGGCACCAGTTGGGAACCCCACTTGTTTCTTCTGTTTTACAAATCATCTTATTGTCACTGTCATCTTCAACATTTTTTCATGACTTTTGTGGCGTGCTTTACTATGACATTTTTTATAATATGCAGTTACTTTTTTATGACATTTTCATTACATATTATACTGGATATTTTATTTATTTATTTTTTTAACTTTTTGGCTTAATTAATAATTAATACACCATGCTACAATTGTTTAATGAAACAATGGAGCATAACATGCCATACTATAACTTTTTATGATGTTTTGTATACATGCTATACCATTACCTTTTTTATAACAACTTTATTTAATGACATCTTTATGACCTTTTTTTTTTTTACATACTGTATTATGTTTTATTAACTTTTTAAAAAAAAAAATTATACATAATGTGATATAACATTTTGAAACGTATCATGCTATGGCTTTTTTGACTATAATTTTTATGGCATCCTATCAATTTTTCTATGACTCTTATAATATAAAATACTACAGTATTTTTTTTTTCAACATACTATGCTATTTTTATGACATAGCATACCATAATTTTTTAATGGCATACGATAATTTTTTGTAATAACATTTTTGAGGACATGCTTTACTATGACTTTTTTTGTGATTTATTTTTGACGTACAACACTCTGACGTTTATAGGACATTTCTTCCGACTACTGTGTCGTTTTTATCACTTTTTTGCGACATATTAGAATATGTCGTTTTTATGACC